AGAAAATAAATGATTTTCTAAGAGAGAATGGGTTTGTAAAGTGCACAACTAGACATGGTGTGTATCTTAGAAGAAGGAGAAGTGAACTGCTCTTACTTTGTCTTTATGCAGATGACCTATTGATAATAGGTAGTTGCAAGATGGATATTGAAGATTTCAAATGTGACTTGAGCAAGGAGTTTGAAATGTCTGACCTAGGCAACATCTCATATTTCTTTGGGATATAATTCTACAAGAGTAGTAGAGGCCTGGTGATGCATCAAAGGAGATATGCAACTAAGATACTCAAAATATTTGAGATGGAGAATTGCAATGCAACTTTGACACCAGTTGAACCAAGACTATAATTGATGAAGGACTCAATGAAAGATGATTTTGATCCAACACAATACAAAAGACTCATTGGATCATTAAGATACATTTGTCACAGCATGCTTGATCTAACATACAATGTAGACATGGTGAGTAGGTTCACGCAACAGTCAAAGGTATCCCATCTTGTAGCCACCAAGAGGATACTAAGGTATCTCAAAGGAACATTTGACTGTGACATTTTATTTTCTACAGCAGATGAAGGAATGAAATGCAAACTTGTGAGATACACTAACTCAAGTTGGTGTGGTGATGTCGAGGATATAAAATCTATAACTGGTTATGTCTTTACGCTATGTGGTGCACCAGTTTCTTGGAGCTTGAGGAAAGAACCGGTTGTAGCTTTTTCGTCATGTGGGGTTGAGTACATAGTTGCATCTCTTTGTGCATTTCAAGCAACATGGATGGTGAATCTGATTTAGAAGATTGCATGTGCAAATCATGGAGCAATGATGATGAAGATTGATAACATGTATGCTATCAATTTGACCAAGAATCTGATAGCACATGGAAGAAGCAATCACAATGAAATGAGATTCTACTATCTTAAAGAGCAAGTAACAAATGAAAAGTTGAATATGAAACACTGGAGAACTGGGAATCAAATTGCAAACACCGTGGCAAAGGTTGTGCAAGTGAAATTGTTCAAGAGATTAAGATCTATGATGAATACAAATAGATTAGACACACTGAATTAAGTGATGTGTTAAATATGTAATTCTTTGTGTTAAACGTATTTGTAAAAGACACGATGCGACAGACTCAAAATTGTATGTATTTGATAGACTCAAATCTAGTTTGTTAGTAGTCGAATATGCATGTATTCGACAGAAAGTAATATCATTATAAATAGGAAGACACCTTGAATTTGTTTAGTAGCGAAATACACACAAAAAGTTTCAAAGCAAGAGTTTTTGATAGATAGATGAATAAACATTATTCCTTTCGCTTCCATACAATCTTCTTCTCTCTTCCAAAATTATTACTTTCTCAATCAATCATTTCTTTTCAAATTTTTGTGCAAAAGAAATCATCTTACAACCAAGTTGCGGTTAAATCACTCGAGTGAAGAACGAGAATCTTGAATTAATTAAAAAAATAATTAAATATTGTTCTACCAATTATCAAAATCGATTTCAACCGTCTTGTCTTACTCCAAATCAGGATCATGCCTACCCTTGAATGTAGGTGGATTCTCCCACTGAAACATTGCCAAACTGCGAGACCCAGCATCCCCAACAGGATTCGGCTGATTTTCCATAGCATTAGCTAAAGCTTGCAGAGCAGCAGCAATTGCAGCATCATTTCTTCCAGCCATTTCAACTTAAACTGCAATTATCAGCAGTCAGATCTCACAAACAACGATACTCTATTACTAGACACGATGACTGACTCGATAACTCGGTCGGATGGAATGACCTGCTCTGATACCACTAATGTAACACCCTTTTTCTACCCAAACGGATAATTAAGCAAATCAGAGTGCATCAACTAGAGATGTCACGTTTTCAACTTAAAAGACAACCGTACAACTGCTAAAATCCTCTACTAACATACATAGCACAAATTCGGATGAACCGACAACAATTCTCAGCTTAGTATTTTAATTGTAAGATAGCCTGTCATTTTGCAGCGAAATGTAATAAGCTTTCAAACAACTCATAGTCAGCCAAAACAAGGCAAAGAATATTTTACATTTGAACTCCACTAAAATTCAGCAAGTAATAATCTTGCATAAATTCACGAAAATAACTAGTTTCGATCATAAAAATCAGCAACAAGGAAATCAACTAAAAGCAATAGAGTTAATCGTTCATCCCCCCAAGAGTGTTACGTATCAGAGCGACCGACGATACCTTAAACGGAAACGACACTTTATTCCGATTTACCTGCAAATTACCACCAACGGAGGTAATGTACAACGTAAAGGGTGAGATATCAATGTTATAACATAAGGCATGATAGAAATCATGTCAGAATCATATAACATCGTTACAATCTTCGTGAATTTACAAACATTGTCGACAATAATTTGCAATAAAATCCATATCTCACGCATACAACAATGATATACGACCAACATAACGATGCGATATCATGCGACTCGACTATGCACATGCATGTGGTACCATTTTGGAGTAACATTCCACAACCAATTCATTTGCCATTAAAGTCCGCCAATACAGGCACAACCAACGCCAATACAGGCCAACCAGATGATATGCCATGAAATGCATCTATTATAGACTACAACACAACCATAACGACCATACAACAAGGCCTTTAGCCTACAAACAAACTGTCCATAACAGAACATCACAATTTCATACAACTCATAAAATCACCATCTTCCACCTGTTCATGTACGAGAACAATAACAACATCCTTTCAACATATAAGGACTCAACACAATTTCGCAAGAACGACATTACGACTTGTACTCACATATTTAATTATAGGTTTAACTACACAATATCATGCAATACTACTGACAGATAAACTTTCCTCAGACACAAATAAACTTCGTCCCTAACGTTTATCATTTAACGAAAACTATACCCATGATTCGATTCCCTACATGAACTCGATCATACCCACGGTTATAGAATTGAACCCCACCCTTACCTTGAATAGAGGCCAATTCCAAGCTTCAGGTTCTGGTTTTTGCTCTCCGGCGACTCTTCTGCAATTATCTTCCAATTCTCTGATGGATAATTCTCTCAACCACGTTCTTTTCTCTTTCGGTTTCTGTTTTTTCCCTAAATGAAAACAGAATTGAGAGTAAGTGAAAATACGAATAAGTTGGTTCCACTTTCTCAGCCTTTCACGTGCACGTTCCAATTCTGCAGTTACTGGATTTTGTAAGTGTGACGAGCGTAATGCGTGTCACGACCGTGACAGCCATGACGGTCGTAATGGGCACATGACGATCGTAACGACCGTAACCAGCTTGTGACGAGCGGCACATCAACAAAATTCTATTTTCTGCTCTTTTGTTTCTGTTTCGCACTAACGGTCCAATTTCCCGAGTAATCTTTACCCAATACACTCGAATACGACTACGACACCACAAGACACGACAACAATCCATTATTAAATCAATCGAAGTAAAACGGGCGTTACATTTACGCTATGTGGTGCACCAGTTGCTTAGAGCTTGAGGAAAGAACCAGTTGTAGCTTTTTCGTCATGTGGGGTTGAGTACATAACTGCATCTCTTTGTGCCTTTCAAGCAACATGGATGGTGAATCTGATTTAGGAGATTGCATGTGCAAATCATGGAGAAATGATCATGAAGATTGATAACATGTATGCTATCAATTTGGCCAAGAATTTGATAGCACATGAAAGAAGCAAACACAATGAAATCAGATTCCACTATCTTAAAGAGCAAGTAACAAATGGAAAGTTGAATTTGGAACACTGCAAAACTGAGAATCAAATTGTAGACACCATGACAAAGGTTGTGCAGGTGAAATTATTCAAGAGATTGAGATCTATGATGAATGCAAATAAATTAGACACACTGAATTAAGTGATGTGTTAAATATGTATATCTTTGTGTTAAACGTATTTGTAAAAGACACGATTCAAAAGACTCAAAATTGTATGTATTTGATAGACTCGAATCTAGTTTGTAGTAGTCGAATATGCATGTGTTTGACAAAAAGTAATATCATTATAAATAGGAAGGCAGCTTACATTTGTTTAGTAGCGAAATACACACAAAAAGTTTCAAAGCAAGAGTTTTTGATAGATAAATGAATAAACTATTCCTTTCACTTCCATACAATCTTCTTCTCTCTTCCAAAATTATTACTTTCTCAATCAATCATTTCTTTTCAAATTTTTGTGCAAAAGAAATCATCTTACAACCAAGTTGCGATTAAATCACTCGAGTGAAGAACGAGAATCTTGAATCAATTAAAAAAATGATTAAATATTGTTCTATCAATTATCAAAATCGATTTCAACCGTCTTGTCTTACTCCAAATCAACGCCAACAATCAAACATGATATCAACAGCTGAGAGCATTAGAAAAAAGATGAGTTATAGAAATTAAAACTTTCCTCCCTCCAATACATCCCGTGCGATAATACAAATTCAGCTGCAAAATTCAACGACTTGACCTTTGCTGCAATCTCTTCCAAATGATGACCACCAAACTGCTTAAATTCGTCTAACTTACTTGTTGCATTGCATTCTCTATTTCAAAAGAATATTGCACACTATATTTCACTGCCTGCTATGACCACCCACGATTCAATTACTTTAACATCTCAACTCAATACAACCAATACCAAGTTCACCAACATTTAGAACTCAGAAAATCTTAATCATCCCAATTTCAATAATAACATTTATTTCATAATATTTTGGCCATGTAACCTATCATCTACACAAGGGCCAAAAAAACAACTGTGGACTAAAACTTTTTCTGTGACTCCTCCTATACCACCCTTATGTACACCAATATATATATAAGGGAAGAATGAACTAATTACTTAAATCACAAACGGAAGCTACAATACTTCTTCACACATCATCAAAATCTGATATGCTCTATGTGACTTGGCCCTCAAACTTGGATCTCGATTCCATAATAAAACTTCACACACTAAATTGCTCATTCTTGATATGGATCAATCCAACATTGATCCTTGTTTGCTGCATCTTTCCATCTTTTCGCAAATATCTGCATTTCAATGTACGACTGCATTCTCACCTGCAATCATGTAATAGAGTATTAATTAAAGGACAAGCTGCAATTAGGCGTTTAAATACATCTACTTACAAACATCCTTACTTTAGGTCTATCACTTTCATCTCTATGGGAATTTGCTGACGTCTGCAAACCAAAACGCAATCCGTTTGTTAATGAATAGTCTAGACTGGCTGTGCTATTTAAATCACAGAAACCAAATGAAATCACTTGCCTCATTGCCATTAGATCCCCCAAGAGTGGGAAGGCCAAGATGAACTATGTACTCAGCATCCACCACACCGATGTTTTTCATTCTATCGCCCTTCAATATTGTTCAGATATGATTAACCATACTGGAAGGATTTAGATATACATAGGCCATGAATAAAGTGTTGTCGGATTACAAAGTTACCTGTGCACAGTAGCCGAACTGTCTATCCAATCCCCAGGCGTGGATTAAGTCATTCTGCATACATAAACATGATTAAAGAAACCATGCAGAATCCAAGATTGGACAAACCTTTTTCTAAGTACATAATGTTATGTGTTGTTTGTTAACAAGCTTACTTGAATAACCAAAAAAGGATGAAAATTTTCAAATATAAGTATCTTAACTTTCACAATATGTATGGTTTGTACTACGATAACTTAGTTATTCTTATCCATACCTGGATCATATGCCATACACATGGCCAAGATTTTTTAGAAAACACCGGAGCCATCATTTCCACCCACCTGCAAAACAAGTTCTTTACATGTTAAATTAAAAATTCTATTTGACATGGAGTCAAAAGAAAATCACACAGCATAGTGCAACTTCTTACCCAACGCAAGGAGGGGCACTGCTATTGTTATCACACATTCCGCTACCTTTGGTCTTATAATACCTTCTGTACACAGACATCATAATACCAACAGTAAATTTTAGCAATTGTTAGCAAAGCATAAACATAACTACTTAAAAATTCCAACGGAACATGTAGGAATGAGTATACAGTTCCAGAAGTTAAGAGAACTGTAAATTATTTGAACAAAAGATAGAAGAGCTCATTGCAGAAGTACACTTAAACAAATATGACAAGTTTTAGTACATGTAGAGAATCCAATTTCTTTCTTATAACTGAGTGCACATATATTCTAAAGTAATAATCTAGTTTTTTCGTCGAGCACTGCATTGGTTATATATGATAATAATAAGGATGTAGAGGTTAACCTGTGCACTTTGGATCCTTGTATACGAGCTGTGAGTGGATGATAGATTTCTGATTTACCAGGATCCAGTGCAGGCTGTGATATCTCTAGCCCTTCTTCTTTAACAATATCTATATACCTAACCATATAACCAACAAATCAAACACACCACTTGTAAAAAAGAACTAACAACATATCAAATATAGTGAGCTAAAAACTTTAATTAAGTAATAATTGTATGTTGTAGCAAGACACAAGTGCCTTTACCTATTTGGATCAAAATTATCGACAAGAAGGTCCTCATCCCAGAGGAATATATAATTGTAGTCAGCAACTATGTCTGGATGCAAAAATCTTTTTGCGAACCACCTATGCCATCATAGAGAGAATTCATTTGTTCAATAGTTACCGATGTTGGCATAGACGATAAGAGATAGGAAAACAAATTAACATACCATTTAGTTTGATTTATAACAGACACATGTATGGCTTGGCTACTCCAAGCTAAATCCTTCCATCCATCGACAAAACCATCATAATGAAAAAGCATCACAACAAAATCAGTTGAAGGAAACTGCCACCAGAGATAAGAGTCAGCAGAGATAAGTTTGAGATGAAAGTGAAATTATATTATTAGTGAAGCAAGAGTCACCTTTTTGACGATTTTATCAACAACTTGTTTCTGCTTAATTCCTACTGGAATAGCCAACAAATTCAATGGGCGGTTTGAATTTTTCTGAAGGAAAACAATTGAAACGAAAAGTAAGAATGAAATAGTATAGATTGGATGGATGGTAATAATTGAAGTACAGAATACATTGTTGGGAGCCGCAGAGGCCCATAAGGGCCTTGTTTCCAAGTCAGATGTTGTAGCAACAATTCCTTGAGGCAACGAATGAGTTCCAGAAGGACGGTGAGATTGCGTCTAGGAAAATTGAAAACATGAAGAGAATTAGAAGCAATCAGAAACTGAAAATGATGTTTAAAATAGAGAAAAAGAGAAACCTTGCATGAATTTGATTTTGTAATCGGTGTTGAATAAATGAGTCCCCACCTCGCCAATCTCTGGGAAGAAAATAGTATAGAATTATATATATACACACAGAAAACACAAGAGTATGAAAAGTTGGGGGAATAGTAGTAGTACATACTTGTTTGTATTCGTTTTCAGATAAAGCATTACCAAGGAAATAAGCAGCGCAAATCAAGGAGACTAGAAGAAGGAGGGTCCATAGGAAGAACCTATTCTTTGGATCCTAAAAAGACAGAGACATGATAACGATTAGTTGAATGGTGAATTATGTGGTGTAGTCAAGGAAATAATGAATAGAGAAGTTACGGTTACAGAGTCGAAACCCTTCATTTTAGTTATGTTGAAGTGAAAGAAAAAGAAGAAGAAGAATGATCGGAAAGGGTGAAGAATAAGAATAAGGAGAAAGTTGAAAGAAAAGAAAAGAAGGAGTGGACTCACGCTACAAGTTTTCTAATTTATTTATTTCTTCAAATAAATAAATAAAAAAAGAAAAGAAAGATCGTGATACTTACTTGCTCGACAAAACAGGGACATCATCGTACTCCACTATCATCCAAACCGATATATCGCAGAATATAAACATACAATAACTTGCCAAAAACAGATCAATATTGCGCACGTATTAGGAAAGATAACAAAATGCTATAAACAATATTACTTTTTCTATAATCTTCTTCCGTCTTAAACATTAATTGTTCAAAATTATGAAAATTACTAAATTTAAAATAATGTTTTTACGCACATATTAGAAAAGATAATAAAATGGTAAAAGGAATATTACTTTTTCTAGAATCTCCTTCCGTTTAAACATTAATTGTTAAAAATTGTTAAAAATTACTAAATTGAATTTATTAGTTATTAATACATTTTCTATGGTTACAAGTATAAAATATATTAAGAATGATAAACATAACATTATTTATTTGCCACAATTAAAATAAAATGTATTCATTATGACAAATGGATGATGCACTAATAATGACAATTTAAGGGTGTATTTGATTCAAGAATTGAAATTACATTTTCGTGAATGTGATATTGAAAATGCAACAATCTCATATTTGTTTTAAGTTTTTAAAAATTGTTCCCGCGTATTTTTTATTCTCTTTTTATTTATAAGCAAAGATTTCATTGATAAGAATATAATATATACTCCAAACAATTACACAATAGAAAAAACCAGCAAAAGAGGTGATGAAACACCACAAATCCAACCAAAACTATATTCTTTACATGATCAAATCAAGTGGTGCAATGCAATATTCATAAAAGCTACATGAATATGATTTTTTGAGAAGACTAAGACAAAGCTAATAGATGAATTTGATATTAAACTCAATGCCCCTTGCATGACAAGAATTTTGTTTGAAAATCACAACATCCACTTATTCCATAAACACTAACAAACTATCGTCCACAATGCTCCTTCATAATGTTTACATACCTTCCCTTTGAAAGCCTCCAAAACCAAATTGAAGTCCATTACACAATGTATCTCCAGTGGTGTACTCAAGCCTATCTATTCCTAAACATGCTTTTAAACCAATGAAGAAATTGACAATTAAACAACAAATGATCTATTGACTCAAACTCTTCATTGCAAAATGCACACTTAGTCAAGGTAGGATCAAATATGATATTTCTTCTAAACAACAACTCTTTAGTAGGCAGCCTGTTGTGCAACAATTTCCAACAAAAAGCTTTAACTTTTGAGTGCACCTTCATCTTCCAAATCTTCCTCCAAGTGGCCTTTGGTTGATACTGATATTCTTGTTGAGACTTATAAATTTGCATATTGTTATAACAATTTTTAACAAAAAAAGCATGATGTGCAACAGCCACCCATATGAGTTGGTCTTTTTCCAACAAATTTGGATTAATTCCTGTCAAAATCATTTTCAAATCATGTAGTTCAGGTACAGGATCTGGCAGCATGAAAGATCACATTTCCTCAAGTTGCCAATGCCATACACCATGTATCCAAAAGCCATAATCACATATTTTGGCTAATTGGTTTGTTGCATGAGAATAAAGAATAGGGAAAGTAACTTCTAAGGGTGATGGTCAAATCCAAATTCCTTTCCAGAATGGAATTGTCTCACCATTTCCAATTCTGAATTTAACAATATGTTTCAAACCATCTCCCTCTAACATTTTGCACTTGAGATTTTTGCAAATGCTCATGAGATCCCTCCACCATAGAGATTGAAAGGATGATTGATATTTATCAATGTCCATCCAATGACTGTTAATCATGTTTCCATATCTATATGTCATCATTCCACTCCAAATAGCATCCTACTCATTGAAAAGTCTCCAAAACCATTTGCACATCAAAGCCTGATTGAAAGCTCTTATCTTCTTGACACCAAAACCCCCATCAACCTTACTTTTGCATACCACTTGCCAATTGATCCAGTTGATTCCCTTACCTTCTCTTGAACCGTGCCACAAGAACTGTCTTTGCATGCCAATGATTTTTTTTCCTGGCAAATTTTGGCATCTTGTAAAATGATAAGTGATGGATTTGTAAATTATTGAGCACTGAATTTAATAAAGTAATTCTGCCTCCTAGAGAAAGGAATTTGTATTTCCATCTAGATAACTTGCTCTTCAAGTTGAGATGACATGTTGCCAAGCCTCAATTCTCCTTGCATTAACTCCCATTGTAATCCCCAAGAATTTAAAGGGGATTTTATCTATGTTGTAAAATAAGAAATTAGAAGTTGTTAACATGAAATCACGGTTTAGTCCAATTCCATAAACTTTGCTTTTGCTCATATTGATTCTTAAGTCAGACACCATTTCAAAAGCTCTTAAGATGGTCTTGATGGACCACAGGTTACTCAATGATCCATTTCCAATGATGATGGTGTCATCAATAAACTGTAGTAAACTGAAAGAAGGTCTTCCAAGTTAAACATCAAGTCTAAATTCTTTGAAGAGATTAATGTCCACAACATTCTTCATAACTTCGTCCAATCCTTCTGTTACAATGGCAAACAAGAAAGATGATAGTGGATCACCCTGCCTCAGACCCCTAGATACCACAAAGTCGTGAGTTGGACTTCCATTGATTAGAATTGACATAGTGCTTTTGAAAATACAACCCTTCATCCATCTTAACCATTTCCCTCTAAAGCCCATCCTACTAAGCATGTATCTTAAGAAATCCCAACAAACATTATCACATGCCTGAGCGAAATCCACCTTAAAAAGTAAACTGTCTTTTTTTCTCCTCTTGGCATAATCAATGATATCACTTATAGTCAAGACTCCACCAAGGATTTGCCTACCTGATATGAAACCAGTTTGTGATTTGGAAATTAACCTACCAATAATACTTTTGATTCTATTGGCCAACATTTTAGCTATTACTTTGTATAAACTACCAATCAAACATATTGGTCTGAAGTCCTTCATCTTCTGTGGATTTTGAATTTTTGGGATGAGAGACAGAAAAGAAGCATGGAAGGCTTTAGGAAGGGTGGTTGTGTTGTAGAATTCTTGTATGACATCAATAATTTCCTCTCCTAATGTATCCCAACAGTTCTTTATGAAAGTGAGGTTAAACCCATCTGGACTAGGGATTTTGTCTCCATCACAATCCCAAATAACACCTTTGATCTCCTCATTAGTGAATTTTTTCTCAAGTTCCAACTTGTCAGCATCAGTCAGGCTGCTAAAGTGAATCCCTTCTAAAATTGGTCTGTATCCACCATGGTTGGTAAACCTGTATTTGAAATAGTCTTCAGCAATAGCTTTTATCATGGAAACCTCTTCAATTCTCCCCCTTTTAGTGTTTAAGGCAATAATGTGATACTTCCTTCTTCTGCAAGTCATCATGTTATCATGTTTACACATCATTCTTATCATACTTATTCACATGTATAAAGGGTGTGAGTCCAACATTCTAATGAGAATAAACTCAACTTTCTATAACTTTCCACTACTACTCATATATTATTATTATTTATAATTTTTAAATTAAATAAATATGTAAGCATTCCTAAGAAATTTATTTTTTATCCAAACACACAAGTGGAAATATTATTCCTAAAAATAATAATAAAAGGAATATGATTCCAATAAATGTTTTTTTATAACTTGAAATAAACACACCATAAATTAATTTTACAGTTAAACTAATTTTACAATGTCAATCAATGATGATTATGTATTCTGCTAAGTCCGATTGAAAATTTTAAACTACTTATATAATATGACAAAATGATACTCCCTCCATTCTCTTTTATAAGCAAATTTTGACTACTTAGATTCATTCAATAAATAATGTATTTGGACTATATATAGGATAGATGCATTAATTATTTAATGAATTTAAAAGTAAAAATTTGCTTATAAATAGGAATGGAGGGAGTATATTCTTTATTAATAAATATGCTTATTTAATTCAAAAAAAAAAAAGGAAGTAGATACAAGGCGGTCACTCAGATCCAGCCCACCACAATCGACAAATGAAAAACAAAAACAAAATCAAAATTATAACACTAATTACACCATGAATCGAGCAATGTGTGTTCAAAGTTTCTTAATGTACCACCCTCTATAGATAATCTTTTCTATTATGTTATTCACAATATTAGCGTTATCTGCATTATTACCAAAATATTTGTCATTCTGAAATCTCCAAATCCCATAAATAGTTTTCGCAATTTCCAACTTCAAAATAGATGCCTTCCAACTTTTGCCTTTGCAATGTATCAAGATCCAATTACACTCATTGTGTCATTCCTTAAGTTCGTGCTTCTGCTGAATTGACTCGAGATTTCTAGTCCAAATATCCTTCAAAATGAGGCGCCCAAAAAAGAGATGATTTAATGTCTCATCCTCGGTACAGAAGCTACAACTACTATTATCCAACAATCCAAATCTGCACAATCTATCTTTTGTAGGCAACTTACCATGCCAAACACGCCATATGATCATCGAGGCTCTAGGACTTGCAATATTACTACTAAAAACGTGTTTCCAATAGACCTGTTCCAAACCTATTGTTCTCAGTTTCTGGTACAACGTCTTCATCTTAAACTTCTCATTACACAACATGAGGTTCCACTCTTACTGCATACATTCAATATATTTTCTTTGTTTGAGGATAGACTTCATAATTCAATAGTGGTTAGGATTTATTTGCATGCTCATAAGAGAATCTGTTTTGGCATAATAAATATGCACCTACTTAACCCACAAATTATCTGCCTTACCGCTTGATCTGGAGTGATCATAATAGATCGTTGTGGCCTTCAATATAGAGCAGCAACAATGGTTGTAGGAGAGGAGGGGGTGTACCTTCAAGGTACTCCGAT